CCAAGTCACCGCCCCTCTACATCAACTTTGTGAGGGTCAACACTATCATAAGGCCACACAAGCCTAAACACTCAAGCTCTCAAGCTAGGAGGCCTATCTCTTAGAAAGATACACTAAGCTCTGTTATGCGCATTAGATGTGTGATCAATATGCACATGCATGGGAGAGTGTGGATGGAGTGATCATAGTCTTGCAATAGCTTCATCATTATTCAACTCATGTAGCTACCACAAATGACATGTAGAATTTGGTACCTCTCTATGTTCTTGCAAGATGTTCCCTGCCATTAGTGATCAGGGAACAAGGTTGTGGCATATATGCAATCTTAGTGATCAGGGAACAGGGTCGTGGCATGTAAGTTGCAATTTTCTTTGCATCATTTCATTTCTCTAGATTCCATATATAAACATACGAAATTTTACACTAAGCAAATCTAAGCATCCAAACATACCTACCATACTACAGGTAGCTAACTTTGACTAAATGCATGTTCTCAAAATAAATAAATAAATAGAAAGAGAAATGAGACAAAGAAAAAGAAAAAAGGTATCATGATGAAGGTGGTTTGGCTTTTGGAAGCCTAGCCATAGCCATATTCAGCCAAAAAGGAAAATGTAGAAGGAAATAACCACATGCAGCTCAAAAGCCCAATCGCTGCTGGGAGACCTGTTAGCAAAGCACAACATATCATTTTAAGTTGGAACCTTTGAGTCCTATAAGGTCTGAAACCTAAGAGGGAGAGTGGGTGGATAGGGTCTTGTTACTATTTTTATCACAACAAAGATTATGTATCTTTGGTGCAAGTGGCAGATCTAGGTGACAGCACAGGGGCACAAAGTTCATATATGCCATTGTGTAGGACATAACCCAGTACGCCACGAGTTTGTGGTTGTATTGCTTCACTACTCAAAAATCTTCATGACCGCCGAGTTGGGAGGCCCCATCATTGCCATTTTTCACCCTCAGTTGAGCTTCAATAAAATGTTAGAATCACAAATAGCTCAGTTGGCGGCCACTGTCCCATCCATCAAGAAAGGTAAGATCCCTGGGAAACCTGAGGATCCAGTTGAAACTGTTAAGCTAGTTACAACGAGGTTTGATAAGCCTTCGCCTCTACTCCGATCAAATTGGGGCTATCTTCTTGATTCACCATTCATCACCAAGAAGGAAGACCCAGGCCACCTGACGATCGAGTGCTTAGTTGGACCACAAACATTTTATAACGCCTTCAGTGACCTTGGATCAGGCGTCAACATCATGTCCAAGGTAACTTATGATAATTTGCTAGGGTACCTTTGTTCCCTACATTTGTTCGTGTGCAGATGGCGGATCAATCAATCCGGTTCCCTGAGGGACTAGCAAGGGATACCTTGGTGAAAATCCAAGACAACTACGTACCCGTTGACTTCAACATCCTGGACATGGGAGCTGATGAGGAAGTACCCCTCATCCTTGGAAGGTCATTCCTCCACACTACAAATACATTATCTACATGGGAGCAGGCCAAATCCACTTCCAATTCTTGGGCTGGAAGGTAAAATGTGCTTTTAATGGTTATGAAGCTAATAAACAGGTTAAAGTAAACCAGCCTAAGAGACGACCTCACTCATCACACTGGAGGAATGAACCCCCGGCGGCAAAGATCTGCTTCCAAATTAAAGATAAAAAGGAGAGGTTTTCTTTTATTTCTTGCAAATTGCAATCTCCTAACATGTCACAGGTACAACCTCCAACCAAACAAAACCAAAGGTAAGAAGAAGAACATAGCACAAGAGGCAAGGAAAATCAAGACTGTGCCCTTGTCTGTAGGCCTAGTAGGACCCATGTCACGATGGAGGAAGTTATATTTAGCTATGCTCCTCCTTAGAGATGTTTCTTATGTATAAGTATAAAGTTAATCTTTTTGCTATTGCTAAGTATATAAACATCATGTTATGCTTTGACTTGTAACTAGAATGACTTAGGAATTTATCTCTATTGTATCTTACTCAGACTAACTATTGCTATCTTTTGGAGTCTCTCTGAATGTTATGCTTATCATATACATATATCATTTGATTTACCCCTATTTAGAGTAAGTGTTTAGTTACGATCCATTATAAAATCTCCTTATTGCCACCGTTCCTCCCTGTAGTAAAACATAAATAACGATACCTGAAATATTCCCGGTAAAATGCTACAATGATATTATGTGCGCTTGCAGAATGCTTATTTTCTTATTTGCAACATGCCGTTGTGGCGCCACCTAGCCCTGGTAGCCTGCGCCGAGATCTAGAGGCCGCATCGTGGTGCTCATATGGGCCGCCAACCCTGGCAGCCCACACCAGACCACCGCCGTGCCGAGATCCAAAGGCCACGTCGAGGCGCCGCCTGCTCCTGGCCACTCGTGTTGTGCTAACTAGAAATTTATTTTGCTGTTTGTTTTGGCTTCTATCTGTCGGCATAATCTACTACTATCACTAGAATTCGAAACAAATTTTTGTGTGTGTGATTTACTGATTTATACAGCTTCTTCTTTTTTCATTACCAACTGAAGCCTCAGTTGCATCAGGTTGATCCTCTTTTTACCCCAACAAATAAAGATCATCTAAAGGTAGTCAAAGGCGGGATTCCCAGTTGCAGATGCGATCCATATGCATATTTGTTCCTGCAGAGTCAAATAGGGGGATCTATCTCATTTGTTAAAAGATACATTAGATTTTATTTATATTTAATAACTATTACCAATTAATATTTACTACGTGAAACACATCGGTGAATAAAAAAGCTCGTCAGCAATCGCAATCTTTTCATATATCTACGAGTCTAGTTGACATTTATATATATACACGTTAACTTTAAAACATAAGCCGCAAGATGAAGTAAATTCAATTCAGATTTCAGGTTGAATTAAAATTGGGAATGTTAATAAATTAAGTGATTAGATTGAGATTCAGGGTTGAAGTCACATTAATATGATGATAGGTTGTGGAGTCAAGTTTTTAAGTAACTTGGATTCGCGCGCAAGCAGTGTATGTAGATACAAATATAGAGAGAGTATTGAGCAAAAAAAAAAATGGGACTGTATTGATGATCCTTTGTCCATCTCCATTCTTTTCATAACTGTAGACTATGTGGTTAATTCAGCCAAAAATATAGCAGATTGAGAAACTAGCTGATGAAAACCCACACATATTCATTAATTAATCTTCGTCTGGGACTCATACTCCAAGAGCTTAAGATTAGGCTTCAATTGTTTTCGAAGAATCAGATTTTTTTTTTCAACGAAAGAAAGTGATTCGTTTTCCTTTGAAACACAGGCCGGGCTTCCCGGTGCTTGTTTGCAGATGTTCCATGCCACCCAATTTCAAATAAAGTTTTTTCAACTATACAAATATCTCTCTGATAGCTCTAGCTAGTTTATTAATACGCATGATCCAGGACGGTAGGAACCAAAACCATATGTACATTTGATCACTAGTAGGTACAAAAAAATACATAGGACGGTAGGACAGTTCTGAAACTTTTGGCTAGTATATGGCACTGAACCATAAATGACTCGATTGGTTATAAGCTAGTAAAAATGTTTTGTCAGTCAGTATTTTGAGAGCACTGTATGTGGTAGAGGCTGTGGGCCTGTGGACTGCAAAAAGGATGGAGCCTGCCCTATATCTCGAAGGGGAAAATGCCTAAAACTATCTGTTGTATACATTTAAATACTCATGCGAATATATATACATTTGATCCTCTAGCAACGCAAACATCAACAAGTACCCACTAAACGTGCCACTTAGCAAAAAAAAAAAAAAAAAAAAAAAAAAAAAAAAAAAAAAAAATTGCCCTAGCTAGCTAGTTTCTGAAGTGGTTCGATTTGTGAGGAAAACTTTTATATATATATATATATATATCCAAAGTAGAAGTCAATATGGACAGCAAAATCGAAATATATAATTGCTCTCTTTGAGCAATGCAAAATGTAAAACAATTTCGAAACAGATTAATTTCACGGTATATAACTAATATCATATTGCAGACAAGTTAGTCTAAGATATCTCAAACACTTAATAACTGGCTGGCTTTCCATTTTATTAGTTAATTAATGTGACCTGTTCTAAAAAAATTTCAGCACTCTATCAGGCTGACCACAGCTGTTTCAGAACCTGGCCAGCCACACATGAAGAAGGCTATAGTACTTTTCCATCAATTGACTTCGAAAGTTCAAATTCAAAACTTAGGTTTAACCCAGAGAAAGTTGAGCATACGTACCACTCCTCCTGCACAGTAGCATACACCTTCTAAATTCCCTGTCTTTTTTAACCCAGAGACAGGGATCGGATCCGAGAGTACAAAGGGAATAACTAAAGCATCATATGTTTGACTTTTCATCAACTAGCTAGGCTGCAACTGTATCATGGTACAACAAGATAAAGAGAAAGTAACTGATCAATGGTAATTGTGTCTAACTTAATTGGATAAGCAAAATAAACTTGCTTTGCAATGAGTAGGGTGGTTTTCGGACATATAGATATACTTGCTTATCATTTAGCAAATCAACCGGATGCATGTCTAATTTAGCGACCACATCATCAACCTAGTATCAAGCAAGTCCGGTATATAGATCTAGTTAGAAATTTGTAGTACTTGTTCATCAAGCGAGCAAGTCTCACATGGAATATGCACAATCTTGAATTGCTTAAATTAAAGAATCCCCGGCCCCCAATACCAAAAAAAAAAAAAGAGGATTCCAAACAGTATCTTCTGAAAAAGAAAAAGGTGCTAAATAAATTGACAACAAATCGATCAACAGAAAACAACTGAAGCCCTGTGGGATCGGAGCCTGGGTACGTAAATCGACAAATACTTTTCTTGCCAAGCTAGGCATTATTCCATCAGAAAAACTGAACCATATGCAACGAATAAAGGCAGGCGCAGCAGGATAAACATAAACTAATCATTTAGGAACAGACAAACAAAGCCAGGCAGAACGAAGAGGTCGCCTGCTCAGGACAAATGGCGGCTAATCATAGCCTGAGTGACAAGTCCAGGTCGTCGGCGCGCTCGACGTCGCCCCGCTGCCAAGGCGCCGGCGGATCAGCATGCCTCGCCTTCTTAGCCGCCTCAGGCTCTGCTCCAGCAACGCCGCTGGCAACTCTGGCGGCGCTTCCAGCTCCAGGCACGCTGTCGCCGTCGACCTGGCCGCGGCCGGCGCCCCTCACTGACGACGCTGCTTGGTGCGCGCGCATGGCAGCTTCAGCCATCTCGCGGTGGCGCTTTGCCAGGGTGCGCTCATACTTGTGCGCGTTCTGGTGGCCGCCGAGCGCCTGCGAGGTGTAGAACTTGCGGCCGCAGTACGTGCAGAGGAAGAAGCCCGGCGGCTCCTCCGGTGCAGAGCGGTGAAGGAGGCTGAGGCCGAGGTCCAGCTCTAGCTCCGGCCTCTCCATTATAACTATAGCTATAGCTAGCTTAATTAACCTGCAACAGAATAATTGTGCTAACCGAGGATTAAATATACAGTACAAGCTCTGGTGGATGACAGAGCTAGTAGAGTCTGTGGACAGTGTGTTGCGCACGTTTTCGTAACTGTGGCAAGTGGCAACCGATAGTAACTTCTGTGTCAGGCTAATTTTCACAACCAGTGCTTTTGCCTATTCACATATATATATATCTGAGTTTCCTTAAATATTCTGGGAGAAAAGAAGGATCGTTCTGATAAATCGGAGGTACCTCCTCGGTAAGACTTTTCGACTTTTCAACTTTTTAAGACATACATTCTTTTTACTAGATATACAGTGTATATCTAAGTGCATAGCAAATGCTATGGCCCTGTTCATTTGTCTTATGAGCCGTACTATTTCAGCGAACAAACTGTATTTTTATCTCACAACAAATCAGCGAATAGTACTTTCAGCCATGGCTTTTCAGCAAAGCGAACAAGACATGTATATAAAAAAGCTAAAATATCTTATAATTTAGAATTGAGGGAGTAATTAATAAGTTTGGAAAGCCTACGAGAAAATCTCATAAAATATGAAACGAAACAAAAGAATGATATGAAAACACCATCTAGAAAATATATAGTGCATATGCAAGTTGTTGATATATAGAAATAGTAATTAAGTTACTTTCATTGTGACGCAATGTAGCTAAATTTTCCATCATTTTTAGTCAAGTCGTATAAAACCAATGTAGGGGCTGGATGTGTTTCTGTTTAACATCGTTATTAAGTCATTTACTATGTGAATAAACTTGTTCATCCATTAATCCATGGCAACCCACTCCTCTCTTGCACTGCCGTCAGATTCTCGTAGAAACATTTCAAATCTAGATTTACCCTTACAAACGTTGAATCATTTCATGGAACTGTTTGGCTAGCTCGCTGGATTCTTAAAATTAGAACAGAACCAGGTTTTGGGTATTTCTCTAGACTAATACAAAAACGAGAATCAGTTCCAAGTGATTCTCTCTGAAATGTTTCTCTCTTTGTGGTGTTTGGCAGCGATTTTAGTGATTCTACTCAGAATCTGAAATGTTTCTTGGTGCCAAATGAGAACCTTAATACTAGCGGTTTACGTTAGATAACCGCAGGTAGAAATCATTTTCAGAGGCAGTTGGCTAAAGCAATTGCCTCTGAAAATCATTTAGAAAGTTATCTTTTTAAATAGATTTGGAACGTTATAATGAATAGTTGGACCCCTAAATTATCTCATGAAAAGTTTGTCAACTACAAAATTGTAAATCTCATTTAGCACTACAATTTTGATAGACAGATTGCCTTTGTTTCACTTCATATGAAAAAATTATCATTTTATATATGTGTCCTTGAGAATCCATTTCTAGGGTGGTCGTCTTAAGACAATCTAATGTAGAAATTAGTCCATTTCTAGTGTCTTCTTAAGTAGTAGAAATTCCCATTTCTATTGGCAGACGATGTTTAAGAAAACCGCCACCAGAAATAACCCTATTTATAGAGGCGGTTGGTTTTGAGGTAATCACCACTAGAAATCGAATTCTAGTGATGGTAATTGTCCATGTGCCCACCTGCCTTACAACAACATAGGCGGAACCAATTATCAACCACTAGGAAAATACTACGAGTGCAGTAAAAATGAATTTTGTATTAGTGATAAATTATTAGAAATTTATGTATAAATATGACCCTACACAGCTAGTAGAAAATTGCTTACGTTTGTCCTCCCTTATTGGTTCATATTCTAACATAATACTCACATAGATACGTTCTACCTTTATCAGGTTGTGAAACACAATAGTTATGAAATACTATATATATTGGCATGTCCATCCCCTTCATAGTTTTTCTCATTTGCATCACTCCTCCATATATGGTTTGACATGTGTTTAGTTGGAACCTTAGCTTTTGAGCTATGTGTTTTACATGGAAATCAATATGCTCACTGCTTCATGCATACATGATACATGTACACGTATGCGTGGTATATATGCACTATGATATACATCATGCATATATACATTATTGAGATTGTTTTTCTATAGCAATAATTGTAGAAGTGTGTAATTTAGAAGATATTATAAGATTAGTTTTTTTTATAATCATAGAGTAATTTCAATTGTGATGTTGAGGTTGCGAGAGCAGGGTTATGTATGAACACGATTGCTCACTAAATGTTAGAGCCTATCAAATTGATGGTTGGTCTTTTTGGATTTTTATAAAAACCTGTAGGATTTACTTGTTTCCTAGGACGTCATATATATGATTATTGGAGTAGAGGATACAGAGTCTTTATTTATCTAGTATAATAGCTTTAGGTGCTTTCCCATCTTCAATAATAACCTTTTTTACTATTTTGTGAACAATATATACACTCTTGGTGCCATCTTCAGTGACCTTTTTTCACTTCCGTTGTTCGTTTCACTCCAACCTCTTGTGAGTTCTCGTCGAAATCGAGTGCAGCTTAACTACATATAGTGGTCCAGTGGACAAAGAGATAGGAACAAACTATGAAAGCGTCGTCCAAGCAGAGGTGCCTCGCCGCTCCTCGCTAGTACGCTTTGGCCACGACGTTGCAACAATGACGAAATATATTGTGTCATTTGTTCCTTCAGCCATTGGCTGCTTATGGTGATTATATTGCCATCTCCTGGACCCGTCGCCATTATCACTTTGTCCTTGCTTGCATGCTCCGAGTGGTTATATTGCTTATTAGGGTATGCATTCTTTATAATTTGTTCGCTAAAATTGTGGTAGAGACACATGTACTTAGACCACTACCCGGCCATGCACGCACGTAGCACGTACGTCCGCCTTGCACTGCAATAATAATAATATACATCCACCCATGAAAATGCGGGTGAAATCTTTTGATGACTGGACCCAGCAAATTTGCAGCCGTGCCTATCAAATTTTTATTGCTTTATTTATGTCTAGACATATATTAACCAAACCTTTTCTTTTGGATCGAGATCACTAAACTAAATTATGAAGTAGTAGTAACTAGTAAGCTTGTAGTTGTGAGCAATCATTAACAGATCTTATATATATTAAGTGCTTTCTCCAACACTGAACAATGCATGTATACAAGATCAATATATGTTACTCCCTTTATTCCAAATTTTAAGATGTTTTGGTTTTAGATACATTACTTTTATTATGTATTTATTTTTTTATATACATTATTTTTATTATGTATTACTTATAATTTAGAACGGAGTGTACGCGCGCATGTCTACCCATCGCACGTCATAATACGTGCTCCCGTCGTCTCTGTTCATTTCCCATTGGTGTCTTTCTATTGGTGCTGACTTTTCCTTAACCCAGCAAGCTGGTCCTTTCTGAAAGGCGTTAGTTTCACGCTATCATGCTTTTACAGTTTTATTACTCGATAGAAAGTTGACCCTTTTAAATTGGAGGCGAAGAAGATGAAGAACTACTGTACATACGTTCACAAACTCGTACTAAGGGGTGGAAATGGAACATATACGGGAAATTTTGGATATTTTTGTTAATTCATACATCTATATTTTTTTGTCGAATGGAAATGTTCTAACTAGAATTTGAACACAAATAGAAAGTTCAGATTTAAATTCACATCCATATCTCTTCAATTTTCTTAATGAATATCACTAGTACAGACAGTCTAAAGGCGGATGTAAACCAGTTATAAAGGTGGTAATTTGCCCAGCCTCTGCCTACGCATCTCTAACAAATAGTTTATAGGTGGCTGGGAACCATTTGTAGAGCGAGGCGGCTATTTCACATGACTCAACCTATACATCTCTATAAATCAGTTTTCAGAGGTGCGCTAAAACCCAGTCACTTCTAAAATTTGTTTTTACACAATTTTGTGAATCGTGCCAAAAAATTAGTATGAAAAAAACCCACAAGCAAACCCTCACGAACATGTGTCATAAGTCATGCGATTTTTGCTTATGAGGCCACGGGGATCAAACTTCCAACCTCAAGCCTCGCGCGTTACTTTCTTATCATTGTACCTCGAAGTTACTTGCTTGTGAGTTATTTTTATGTTCTTTTCCAACAGATTACCAAAAAAACACATAACCTTAATGGCCAATTAACAGAGATGGTCAATTTAGGATGCCTGCATCTGAAAATGATCAATAGAAGCAGGATTTTGCCTGAAGGTTATACATGCCTCTATTAATCAGAGAGACTGTCTTTTAAATTTTTAATTATAGCGCTCCTCGGTCCCATAAAAAATCTTTGAGGATGTTTGAGCAAAAAAAGCAGATGCTAAGGTTAAGGGTAAAAGACCCTGCCAATCCTATATATAAACAATCATCACACTACTGTTTAATTGAGGTGACATGTTGATTAATGCTCTCCTTTCTAGCTCCGTCCCAACGCAGCCTCCTCCCACCGTTTTTTTTCATTTTTTATTTGTAAAGCGGACGACAGGGAGGTGATGGACTGGTGGTGTACTATGGTAAAGAGTGGCACCCACGCTAAGGCTCTTTCAGCAAATTAGCCGGAATAGTATTTTGGTTTTTTTTAACAGAACCAACGAGGCCTAAAACGTCATTTTTTTTATATTTTTTTAAATGCTACTACGCCCTCTATTTTAGGAGGCCTCTATTTTATGACGGAGATAATACTTGATTTGACCATTGTCCAGCGCATTCATCCTCGGTATCCCGTCCTTGTCTCTCTTGTGGCAGCTAGTTTTGCCAAAAAGAAAGATGTCCTTGCTGTATAGATAACGTCTCGTCCAGATCCTCAGTCTCGCATGGAGCTCGTGAGTGACAAATACCGAAGCTCCCTCTCGTTACTACTTAGTACCTATTTGGCATTCTATGTTTTTTACTGAAAAACGCTCTTCCAGGAAAACGTTTGGCAGGGCTCCTCTAGAGGAGCCGGAGCCAGAGCCGGAGAGGAGTCCTGCCAAACAGATCCTTACTACTAGACGAGATGGGGTGTTATGCGGCCCCACCTTATCGCCAAATGTGA